AATTTTTTTGAGAACCTTACCTCAGTCAGGTAATACTTCTTTTTGTAGAACATTGTAGTTTTATTAAAACTTTGATTTCATCAAATTAAATTATTACAGCTATATCATTATAACTGATATTAATTAAAGTTCCGTTAAGACTCGTAAGATTATTTTTAATTCTGTACTCTTCAAAATGTCTTAGGGGATTTATCCATTTAATAATATGATAACATAAGTATTGGAGAAAATTATTATCAAATTACTAAGAGAAACAAGTTATAAAAGATATATCTATTCTTAAAAAACCCATAATGGGTCTTACATACTCAACACTATCAAGACTCTCAAAGTTTGACCTATTGAAATTTCTTACTATTTATTGATTGTGTATCTTTCTAAAGATGTGTTCTATTTAACATTAAAGATGGCAAAATTTATATTCTTGTCTTATTACATAGTTTTAATTAATATTACAACTCTTATTAATCTCCAAAAAAGATTTTTTAATTTTAAGTTATAATAAAACGCCTACCCTTTACTATGGCTTGATCATATATTTCCCTAACTTCTATTCATATCCGCCTTTTTAAAGTATTTCGTTCTGATTCCATTCACTAAATCTTGTCTATTTAATTGGCTAACAATACTGGATTTTTATAGAATTCCCTAATTTTTCTTAAGCAAATATAGATTTATGAATTATCGTTTAATTCGTAAATCTAACGTTCATAATATTCTGATATCCTATTATATAACCTTTCTATTCATCTGTCTGATAATTTTCAATTAAATTCTCAACAAGATGAAGAAATAATTTTTGATTAATTTGAATAGGAAAATTGTCTAAACTTGTTAATTCCAAATCTAACTTCTCATACTTAGTAGATATGAATTTTATTTTTGATGTGATTAAGTAGAAAGTAAGGTTTGTCTATTCTGATTTAACATAGTTTTAATTAGTTAAGTTTGTGATTATTTTTCACAATTTTAAAATAGGTCTACATTTTATATTAAATAATCATTCTTAAAGGAATCTTATGAATCATTCATAATAATTTGTATTAAATTTTAAATTCTTATGTGCCTTTTAATATTGAAATTAAGGTGGAATCAAATTTGTTTTCAATGTTTATCCAATTGTACATATAAAGTTAATTGTTATCATATCTTTTATTAAAATCTTTAACCTAAATAAAAAAATAAACGATAATTAATAATTTAATAATAATTGATTTATTCATAAATCATTAATGATATTTTCTAATTTAAATTTGCTTAGATTAAAAATCCCAAGTCATCAAATACTCTCCATTTTCACTCATCTATCCATATATCTAAAAATCCCCAAATTGAATAGATTATTATGTTATAAAATCACCATTTTGGTTGTACGATAACTGGATGAATAATTTGATTAGAAAAGATCTTTTAAAAAATGACAAAAAAATTCCTAATATATATACTAAATATTGAAAATGTAAAATTTACTCCAAATACACTATTTCATTCACAAAAAATATATCAAATACTGATGAGGGATATTAACTTAAAATGATAGATTATATATTAATAAGAAAAGTGATTGGCTAATGTCAAATGAATTTTTCATAATCTTTTTTTATAATTCCAAGAAAAATCTAAGTATAATCTAATAAAGAAGTAAAGTTGTTAAACTACGTTTGACCAATTATTATTATTTGAGTTCAGGGTTATCTGAATAATGCTTAAAGAGTTTTTAAAATTGGAAAATAATTTAATATTAAATTTAGATCTAACCTACTTTAAGGGATCAAGAGGCTAAATGAAACTATAGGATGTGGATTTAATTTATCCTTCATTTAATTAAAGTTATAAAGCCTTTAACAGATGTTATTTTTGGTACTTTGGTTTACTTATTGTTTGTTTTTAAATAATTTGTACTTAAAAACTTTTAGAATAACAATTTTTTGAGTTTACCTTTTTATGAATTAGCAACTTCAATAAGTATTTACTATATATTTCTTATATCACGGTATTGAAATATCGTTTGTGATTTTCTATTATGTTTTTTATTAGATGAAAAAGTAGAGATTAAGATAATACGATTTCTAAAATTTCAATAGATTTATAAAACAATTTAAAAGGACTTTTTACGAGTCCATTTTTACATCAAATTGTAAGTTTAAAAGTATTTTACACTTGAGTTTTAACTAAATGTGCAGATTTTGAATATTCATTTCAAGAAATATTTTCAAGATAAATGAATATCCATATTGCCTTCTAAGCTCAAACCATTATTGTAATTGTAAACCTTGAGGTTTACACTCGAAGGACAGGGGTGTTTAAATATTTCATCTTGATTGAAGGCAAATGTGCTAGGGAGCAAAACGTCATCTCATCTATCATTAGCTTAACCATTCCTGTGCATTTTTACTATCTTTAAATTATTGATTAAGACTTTCCTTTATCATTATATTCTAAAAGCTTTTTATCGTATCTTTGTCCAAGATTAATCTCTCCAAGTATTCTAATGATAACCATAATTGGTAGATTATTTCCATTAAAGAATGTTTGAATATCTGATGGTGAATTTAAGAAGTAACAAGTTAATTGCAATCCTGCAATTCAAATCTGAATTTATTCCAAGTCATCGTTCTATAGAAATTTAAATTATATGTACTTGTTTATCTTTCTTTTTGTCTCCATCCGGTATTGTATTCTGTTAATATTATATTCTAATTCAGTGAATTTTTAGGATTCTTCTATAAAATTCCAATTTAGATTTAATAACAGCATTAAATTATTCACACATCCATAATCATAAAAATACTGCTTTAATTCCCTAGAAAGTATATAACTTGCCATCAAATTAATATCTCTCCAGAATTAATTATAAAAGGATTAGGGCTTTTTCTAATCTCTCAATATCATTTATTTCGGCTTCAGCCTCAATTCTTTTTTTAATGACTATGTCATTTTCTTAGTTCACTATAAGTTTGCGGATTTAATGCTGATATCTTGCAATTTCTTAGTCTGATACCATTCTTTCCTATACTATTAGTTATATAGCAGCCTGTTATTCTAAATATTTCGTGGCTTGCTCAAACACATCCTCATATTTCTTTCATTCTACTGAAGCTTCTTTAATTGTTCTCTTGTTTCTAGGTATTAATTTCCTTCTTCCTCTATCGTTGACCATGTACAATTACAAAGTTTCATTGACTAGTTATAGCTCATCTCTTTCAGGTTCATTATTGTAAGTCACTAGGTTATCAAGCAGGATTCTTAAAGTCCAGTATGAAAGGGTTTCTATCGAAAGCTGTCACAATTATGTATATGTATCTTTGCTTTAATATATAAGGGTAATATATTCGCATCCTTCCAGTTAAATCCTGATTGATCATGATGATAATTAGGATTGTCTCTTAAAATATCAATTAAGATTCTTTAAAAATAATTTTTCTCCTCCATAGTTTGTTAACCATAAATTGGAGTAATTATCAATCATGCTCCCATTATTATATTTTTCTCCCATCTTCCATTAATGTCCACTTAGATTCCCCTTTGTTTCATTTACATTTTAATAATTTCATTGATTCCATACAAACTCTCCTTTTTCTTCATCCAGCTGGCCATTAGTCTTCTAAATAAGAGGTCCACTTCGGTTTCCCCATCCTTAAGTCATGATCTTCAAATGAATTATTTTTATAAGATTGGGTTCTCCCATCCCCCTTATCCTTAAATCTCCTTATTAAGCACTCAGCAGTGAACGAGTCATCCTACTTGACCCCTAATAGGACTAAATCTCTTCTTACCCTAAGGGTATCTTATTCTTGATATTTAATGTAAATATTACTATTTTTTAATTTCGCAATAATGTCAATTTTTAATCTATCCTTTCATCAAATTGGAATGTGATTATCGGTTTGTATTCTTACCAATGAAATAGTTAAGAATGATTTTAATAATATCAAAATTTTTTTTTACATAATCCTAAATTAACGAATTTCATGCTTCAACTACAAGACCAAAGTCTTTAGTTTGATGATATCAAATTGGTGAATTTTATTGGAGAGTAATAAATTGCTTTTAGATTTGTGTTTATAAAATTTTTATTACTTGTGGTTCAAAAATTAATCGTTTTTTTAATACATAAAATAAATTTTATTTTTTTTTTTTACCTCTATCTAAATGATTTTTAAGTTTAAATTTAGTCGACTTTTAGAAAATTAATAAAATGAATAAAATCCTATAAGTTTCTGTCAGGCATAAAATCGATGTGTGAGAGTGAATGCTATTTACTATTAAATTTATCAGTAAATAAGATCTAAAAAAAATGTTTATGTGTCATTCATACCTTAAATCATTCGAATTTGATTGGTATCTTAGATCAATCTCAATTTAGTTTCAATAATGAAAAAACTAGTGTTTTGAATTGACTACCAGATGTTCTACATTAATTTTTGTGTGCAGATGTTGCTGTCTGTTTTTTTTCAAGATTTATCATCTGTGATTTCATATTAGTTATATTAATAAATTTAAGGATTGTAAAAATATTATTATTAGTTACACATTTCCAAATGCTGCTCAACATATGATACTAAAAAGCAATTAGTTTTATTTTTTGAATTAGATCAAGGTAGGAGCTAAGTAATATGCTCTTTTGGATCAAGCAGAAGCAATATTAATTGAAGGTTGAAGTGTAGCATAAAGAAAAAATTTCATAAAATTATTATCAAATTTCAAATTAAATATGATAGACTAATGCTAATTATATGTACTCTATAATTATTTTATAAATGAATTTAAATTTAATAAATGAAACACTATCTTTGTATACATTATTTATTAAATTAAGGTAATCCCAGGAAAATCTGAATCCTGGCCCTAGGATTCTGCGATAATCCCTTTGAAGTGAAATTTGTTCAGGAAGTAGAATGATAGAGACTGTGATGACTAGAGAGATCGAAACAGGGCGAACCGAGGAAGGT